AAATGCCTGCTTGTTGTAGTATCTGAATTATTTTGTATGTAGTGGTGTATCTATTAGGCCCATCAACAATTGGCTGGGAGTGTTGAAGTATATTAGTAGTTGACTACAGGTTGTTTTGCAGCTGCTGCAGCCTAATGTGAGTAGTGGTGCTGAGTATAGAATTGTTATTAATTCTAAGAAGAAAGTTACTGCCATGGTGCTGGAGCTGTATATCCCAGATATTGCGGATATTGTATATGAACTTATTATATAATATCTAATAAGAGAAAGTGTTATCTAATTATATTTTTAATTAGTAAATTTAAGCAATTAGTTATATTAAAAGCTTGGCTTAATTTTTTAAAAATAAAAAAACAAAAAATAGAATCCAGATATATTTATAATTGATAATACTAGTAAAGAGATTAAAGCAATTAAAAAATACTTCTCATAGCAATATATTATTATACTATTTTTATAAATTATATTCCTAATACCAAAATTTAAATCATAATTATAAATCGATTATCTGTGAAGTTTTTTATATACTTATAGAAAAATATTATTTAATTCAAAAAATCATTTAAAAGAATTTCAATTTATTTATTATATGAAAAAATTTTTTTTAAAAAACACCCAAATTATATATAATTTGATATCAATCTGGCTCAAAATGATCTTTTATAGTTTTTATGATTATATTAATAGGAATATTGATTAACATATTTACTATCAAGGTAATAGTAAATAAAATTTCATAATAAAATAGAAACAGTATTTTGGAAATCCTTAGTTCTGTTAACTAAGAAACTCTGAATCCTGTATTTATAAAATTTAGTTATTAGGCTTTACTACTTGTAAAGTAGACTACTAGGCTACAAGTTTTAATGCAAACCTATATATACTTTAGAAATTAGTTGCTTTATCAAAATATTTAGAGATCAGATAGTTTTTAAACTGGCTAACAAATTTATAAATTAAAAATCATGTGCTCTATATAAATTACAACATATATATCTGGCTTTAGATGATTTTAGTAGAAATAAAGCTACAAGTTATAATTTATACCACAATTTGAAACAAATCTAAAATAAATACTGTATATTAATGCAGTTATGTAATTTATATATGACAATTATTAATTATATTATTGCTATTGCTATAAATAATAAAAAATTTATTAATCAAATTATATATATATTTTTATTCTTATTATATATATTACTTAATATTATTAAATTAAGTAATATATCAATTACTAAATTATACTTTTATAGTATTACTTTCAGTATTTATAATATTAAGTTTGACTTAATATTAGGCAATCCATATGCCAAAATTCTAGTAAAAATTATGCTGAAATAACTTCTATAGTATATATATTAAGATTGCAACCCAAACTTACTAGTTTAGATTTGGTAGAATTTCAAATAGTATTTACTAGGTTTTGCAAAATATATATCTTTAATTTGCTATAATATCAAACATTCTAACATATAAATTATATTATAGCTAAAAATTTTAAATTTTTTTTATAGGATCTACATACACTCTCTCCCAACCACATCAGTCGAGGAAGAGTAAATATTAACAAGGCACAATACATAAGAATATTCACACAAGCAAGTCTCAGGACAACAAGGAAATAGGGGCTCTTGCCCTCACTGCAGGGAAAAAAAGACACAGAGAAACATCTCCAGAACCCACTTGTGAAGGCAGTATGGGGAAAAATAAAAAAAAAAGTGAAAACAACTGACTCGGTCGAAAAAGAAAATCAAGAGACACCAATACAAAAGACACCTCCACACAATATCTCAAGTCAGAGTGAAAATGATAAGAC